GCTTCCAGAGACTCAACTTAGTTTCTGTTATTTGAACTTTCTACAAATGTTCACTGTTTACTTATAGCGAAAGCCGAATGCTTCTATGCATCACCTGTGCCTACAAAGTGAAAACTATATTGACGGTTACGTGACTAAAGGCTCTACGTATTGTTTAGGGAGTTCTAAGACTTTTATGAACGAATGTATGACACTGTGTAGTAATTCTAAATCTTGACTGACAATGACCACCACGTCATTGTGCTCAATCAGTAGATAGCTCAATAATATTCGCAGTATATGTGTCTGTGTCTCGGTGACCAATCTTAATCATCATACATCTAGAAATATTTATCGGAGAATATCAAATTTTGGGAAATTTCGATTATTTCTGCAAATCTTTCTGAAGCTCTAAACTATCTCCCTCATTTTTCGTTACCCTCTCTTTATATCCTCGGCACATAACGAAACCGATTATCATAGGATACAAGAAAGGATATTTAAATGTAAGCCAAATCATACATTTCCCATGAATTTACTGAGGCTCCCCACTGAGCACTTTTTTCCAGTGAAGCAACTCGTCGTTGGTGCTGAATTACGAAGTCATTTACATAAACAAATTACTTACCTGAAAATCCGCTATCACCTAAATAAAAACTTGTCGCATAGAACGTAGTCAAAAATCATACTGAAATCGGTGAACGCTACATCTATTGGTAGCTTTAGATCACATAAATTCACAACACATTGGGGATAATCTCTTGTAGAATCTTGGCAACCAATCTGTTTAATCTTATGAATTGATTACTCGCAAGTTAATGAGTCGCATCTTTTTTGAAGACGGAAGTAACTATGGCATTCTTCTAGTAGCTTGGTGTTCTACTTTGGGTTATAGAAAGACTAAAGCATGTGATTAAAGGTTTGTAGTTTGTAAGTTACTTTTGTTATCAACGCTACATTTCATCGATTTTCATAGAATCGCCATTATCTGATTTGTTTTTAGAGGCCAAGAACATTTCAGAGTCTTATTGTAGGGAGTGTGGAGAGAATGAGTCAGTTGTACCCGAGGAAAGGGCATCTCTACAGTATGTACGCTGCTGAAGCGGTATTAGAATACCTGGACCTTATCACAGCCATCTAATGGCAATGGATTATCACCATCTCAATGTAGTGCTGAGATCTCTCATCCCGTTTTGTCCTTCGATATCTGGTATCCTACAGACTCCTTAACAAGCTATTATTCATACAACATTCTATACGTGGGTGATGAGTTGGCTCAAATATTTCCGATTTCCAATAAAGTGACTTTGTTACATTGGGGTGTATACTGAATATTTATTCCGTTTGTTCTTAGTACTGAATCTAAATTTAAAGATTCAGAAATGTCGGGAATATAACATTATTGTCAAAAGTTAATGAATGTGAGTCATCCACGAGACAGAAATATTAGTTCACTGGATATAAAGTTGATTATTGGACTGCACTGCTTCAATTTTAAGAACTTTTATGACTTGTAACTATGGTTTAGTTTGGTTATTACATCAGTAAATTATAATCATATCTGGATGCTGTGACCTTGTTATAGCCAATGGTTCAAACGTTTGAATAGACACCTAATGTGATATTTGAATTCATTATTCCAAATACATACATACATACAGTTATAGCGACAATGACTGTTTTCGTAAAACATGTTGTCAAGGCGAGTTCCACGTCGTGCATTATTTGCCTATTTTGGGACCGGTTAGAAAATATAGAAAAGTGGGAAGTGTATGACATGGTGTCATGGTATGAAAGAAGTTTGTAGAGGATTGGCTTCTGTCGGTTTTTCACGACGCTGTTGTTGGGATCCTAGAAAAGGTACCATACAGTGGCTTGAGACATCATCGGAGATGGTTAAGAATCAAAGCTAATGGGTATCCTTCTGAAACTTTCACTTTCTTCATTAAAGTGAGGGGAACTTCTTTAACTGAAAGTATCCATTATTATTGTTTTTTAACTTACCTGCTTCTCCAGTATTTCATCGTTGTTTTACTCTCACACACTAAATTCTGTTCATCTTCGTTCTTCTTTATTATTCTCGTAATCATTATGAAGAACTGAAATTGTTTGACAAATTAACAACTATTGTATTGAATATTAATAATTTCAGTGTTATGGATACACGTGCCTTACTGAAATATTGAGCGGCCAAAGTGTGATCTTGCGAACGAACCTGTGGACTATCAGATGGCATCACATCTTTTTGGAGCAGTATCCTCACCCTTTTTGTGCAAATTTCGCATTGGCAAAGGCGAATCGAAAATTGTCTAATGACTATGATAGCAACGTAATAGAATTGGTACGTTAGGTCTGGGTTGAACTGGTACATGCTTGTTTATGACGTCTATACGGATGATTGAAGTTGCATGATCACTCTTACCTAGGGCTAGCATGTAATTGAGGTTCGCAACATCATCCTAATAATTGGTCAATATGAGGTCTAGTAAGGATGACTCGGAGTCCGGGTCGTACCTAATTGTTTCCTTCTTATTTTGCACCATAGTATATGTGATAGTCGCATCAACTAGTTCCTGTTCGAAGAAAGTTTCTGACAATTCAGTAGTCAGATATTTCGAGTCTACCGTAGATACATTAATGTCTCCTAGAACTAAGCATCAACCACTTTGTGACCAAGTTTTGAGACCGCCCATCAAGACATAATTCACATCACAGTTTGGACTGCAGTAGACCAAACCAATCGGCAGGTTGTTCCCTATGCATTTCAAGAGGTAACTAACTAATTCACATATTTAACTTTCATGAGACTGTAGTGTCAGTTATTATGCTAAACCCCTATACCTTATTCTAGCTTTCGGGCATCCCATTTCATTCATTCTACTTGAGCCATACTTCGACCTTGTTATTTATTCACTTATCAGTCTTCACTGTTTTTATATGAGCGTATATGTGTGCACATGTCATATCCCATGACTCATTACATGTCTGTAACTTTATTTTGTCTGACTGCAAATATTGAGTAACGGTTGACTAAAATGGAGTTGGATTCCCAGCCATCTTCCTCGCGTGTCGTTTTGCTTTGCTCTGTTTCATTCACTTCATATACAAATATATGTATCAACAAATCGATTCTCGTTATTCAACTTATTTAATTTCGTTATTGGTTAACGCGATTAAGTCGACAATTATATACGAGAATAGGCTATAACAATCATTCGTACGATCTAATTGGAGTCAGATCTACGGGCCACTAAAATACGTGTCATTACCAACGGTATATGGGATAGCATTTTCAATGAATAAAGTTACTTCTTAACCTTTACGCTTCTGTACTCTGTCGGCTCTTACTGATTAAAAACCTATAAAATCAAGTCCCATACTGTCTAAAGACTGCGTCAACCAAGATTCTGTGACAGCGATTACACCTGACATGGCAGATTCAATATGTACATCTAGTTACGACCGCTTATTTTGCAAGTTTCGAGCATTTGTGTAACAGGTCCGAAACCCATTTAGATGGCTTCGCGCTGCACCCAGAATGGTTTCGGCATGGTTCTCTGTCGAAGCCTAACCATCAGTAAATCCACTATTTTTAGGTTTTTTCGCAAGCATGCGGAAAGTCTTTAAGCACAAAAACTCCTAACCACCTTAGTTTATGTCCATTTTGTAGTATAAGGCCCCTTTCATCGAGAGATTTTAACACTACTTTTGGCAGCATGGTTTGGTTCTGTTGCAAGTTCATTTGGCTACCTCTTCCATAAACCTTTAGGAAGATGACTTTGGAAATATCGTGAGGCATTAGCTGGTCAAGTAATTGTTTTATCAAATCAATGACGCGCTCAAAATGAGTCTTAGGTCCTTTGTTTTAAATTTCTTTCACTCTATGAAGGATAATTGACCTTTCGCTATGATCAGCCTTCGATTTCTCAATTACTTTCTGGGAAATGGCTTTTCATTAGTAACATTATTTTGTGTATTATTCTCAATCTGTACCAACTCATCGACTTCCAGTGAAATAGCAATCACAGCCGCGTCACACTGTGAAATCCCAGATCATTGTCGTTGAATAGGGTGGTCAGGCTATTAATTTCCGTGCCAGAAACAGACTAAAGATACCACAGTATTTGAAGTTTGACAACGCTTTAACCACTGACTCCTAATATGAATCGTACCCAAAAAGTAAAATCAAAGGCCAGAAGAGAGGAGGTTCGAAGACATATTTGATAGGCTATCATTATATCAAGGATCGTCTGATCTAACCTGGAAATCTTGCTGTTCTTCCAAAATGCATTAGTTTAAGCTTATTTTCAAATACTGCCGAAGTATCATCGTCGGTGTCGGCCTTCGATATAAATGTTGAAAATGCCGTACAGAACGATAAATAGTTAGTAGTTCCCTACCGAAAGTGCCGTACCTCGATTCAGTGTATAGCGACCGTTTCGAGAAAAATGCCAAAGGTTGCCAGGAGCGTTTAACTCATCATTGTAGGACTCCTCCGATTGCTGAGTCATATGCACCTACTGCGATGCTAATGGGCGTTTGAGTGTACTGGTGTGTGAGCATCGTTGCCTTTGCTAGGTGTTCCTTAACTGTGGAGAATGCTTGTCGCGCGATATCGTCCAAATTGATGGGTTTTGCATTTCCACGAATTTGATCGGTATGAACCGTCCATAGAAACTTACCAATACATGACCTAGTCTTACTATAGGGTTTTCTAGGCATTTCCTTCTGGCTGTCATTCGGAGGACAAAACAAGCCTGTTCACTTCTCTGAGAAGCATAAAAATCGAAGCTTCTGAATGCGAGAAGGGTAGGGTTAATATTATAGTGCCGTTCTTAACTATTTTCTTCCTAAAATGAAAACACTCGGTCACAAAACGATACTTACGGAGACATCACTCGAAGTCAGAAAGGCGGAAGAAAAACCTAGAAGACAAGTGCAGAATGCTTTGCAGAAATTCTTTTCAAAGTATGTTCGACATTTCGTCTTGGTGTCTGAAATTATTTTCATTTGGTTGGGTTGACCTATTCTGACATCCAACCTTGACGGTTATTTGAAATTTCGGGGAATGAGTCTTTGGGTTGACAAATATACTCCTACTTCATTGGGGAAGTTAGATTACCACAAAAGACAAGCCAAAAATTTGAAAAAATTAGTAAGCGATGATTACTTTAGTGACGTAAATCTCAATTTTAGGTTGATAGCAACAATTTTCCTCACTTGCTAGTGTATGGACCTTCTGGTGCAGGGAAGCGAACTAGAATCATGTGTATTCTTCGTGAGCTGTATGGATCAGGCGTTGATCGACTAAGAATGGAACACCATACCTTCACAAATCCTTCAAACAAGAAAGTCAACTTATCCACAGTTTCGAGTAACTTTCATTTGGAAGTAAATCCTAGGTACTTTTATGTAAAGACCCTACTGTTTTTAATTTTTGATAAACTTAAATTTTAGGGAGCTGAATCTTTACTATTTACGAGCGCTTTCTAGTTCTTAGTCACGACTTGGTGTTAACTATACGCAAACACTATCTTAAGTCGTACCCTAGAACTACTGGTCTTATATTTCATTTCGAACGACGGTTAAATTTCAGATTTTAGACTGAAACATCTGTTGGAATAAGTAATTATTATTGATGAACTTTGTTTACATACGATTTTGCGACTCGTATTTGTCATCAATGTCTAGTTTTACAGGTTAGACATCGAAGAGTCATGTCACGCGAAGTCTAATCATTGGCTACGAAAATCACGCAGACTCTAGTAGTTACGGACTTGGAATGACGGTTTAAAATTTTTCAATGGTTCAGTTGTATCTACTACTTGTTTTCCCTTAGATGTTGTGTTTCTGAATCTCATAATTTCGGACACTTCAACTTTTATTTTTGTTTAACGTGTTTTTGACCCTTAATCTGTTCTATTATTACTAACGGTATCACTGCCTCTACTATTCCAGGGTTCGCTTTAGAAACGTCATCACAATGCGTTACTGGAAGTGTAAATGTAGAAAATAAACAAATCAAATAAATTCGAGAATATATATATATATATATATATATATATATATATATATATATATATATATATATATATATGGTAGAATAAATTTGAGGCTGAAGAATAAGTTCGTCTCCACTAATGCAATCGACTTTGAATTTTTTTTCACTTCAAGTCGATGCGTCTAAATATGAAATTGTCAGCTAAGTCAGAAAGTTTCTTTAGAAGTATTTTTGTGATGAAATATGAGGAAGTGGAGCAACCCAGATGAATATCACCTGTTATATGCTCTTCATACAATAATCCTTTGTAAGCCATGACTCAGCTAAGAGTATCGAACGGAATTTTATTCAGTAGAGAAATGTACATACTTAGCACCTCTTAGTGAAAAGGGACTCAATAACCGGATCCAAGTACCACTCTCAGACAAAACGTTGAACATCACTATATATACTTTCATTCAAATGCTGATGAAAATGAGATATAATTGGAAAATTGTGGTTTGGAGTTCTAGAGACTCGAAAATTCGACTTCAAAATTGAGGTTATTACTGTTCATAGTTTAAACTGTTTTGTGACTATTTCCAGTGTTTTGTATGATAGTAAGTTGAACTGCTGAACTGACATCTTATAAACTCTTAGGAATCATCACAGCAAACTGTAAAACGAAACAATGGGGATATTTTTCGGTCAGGTTATTCCACTCTTTTCTTTGTCAATATTATCATAATAAGCTGACGTAAACATCACATGTTCTTAGATCCCTAACCTGTTAGTCCAGCGATTTTAGTCACATTTCGTTTGTTTTAATCTGTAATTGCTATCGATAATATTAATATATGTCGTCTACTTTCATTCCAGTGATGTTGGAATTTACGACCGAATCGTCATTCAAGAGTTAATCAAAAGTATGGCATCAACAGCTCAGCTTGACAGTGGGCAACAGAAAGATTTCAAAGTAGTAGTTCTGCACGAAGCGGACCATTTAACACGTGACGCACAACATGCTTTGCGTAGAACTATGGAAAAGTACATATCCACTTGCCGTCTAATATTGTCAGCGGAATCTACCAGTAAGGTTAGTTCTGTCCTGTAGTTGTGATTGTATGTTCTCTCCAATGATAACTAGATCAATACTATTTATAGTTAGTTAAGGATAGTAACCAATTTGCTGTGGTTTGACTGTTTGCTTAAAATTGTTTCATAGTTTAATGTGTTTGTTTATGTTTAGTCAGTTTAGTCAGTAAGGGTGAAATCTGACAAGGTATCTTTACGTGAAGTGTTGTGTTTTGTAGATGAACCTTTTGCTTGAACTAGTGATACATTGATTGTATGATAGTGTTGATTCTTTGTTTATTCACTGTAATAAAGTGGTTAGGAGTGGTGCTTGTCATCAACATCGCTAATCCATTTTGCTGGGGCTCATGGTATAGTTCACCTTCTAATTTGGAATTTATTAGTTTATGGTTTCGTACTTAGAAAATTAATCATGTATGCAATTATTAAAGCCGAATAAGTAATGTTTTTCGTTGCTGCTTGCTTCATAGTGTCTATTATGTGGCAACTGTGTTTGTATAGTATATTCTTTACTAAGCACCATCACGTGATTATTTATTTTTCAGATCATTTCCGCTACTCGTTCAAGATGTCTACCAATAAGAGTTTCTGCCCCATCTATCGATGAAATTGTTGAAATCTTGAAAAATACCGCTCGCCGAGAAGGCCATTCAATGCCAGTTGAACTAGCTAAACGTATCGCGTTAGCATCCGAACGGAACCTACGTAGAGCTCTTTTGTATGCTGAGGTAGCTAGATGGCAGCATTGCCCCATGCTTCCAGACCAGAGTGTGCAGTTACCTGACTGGCAAGTTTTTCTTACTGAGACAGCATCAGCTATTTTGGTGGAACAAAGTCCGAAGAAGTAAGTGCTGTATATATATATATATATATATATATATATAGGCCTTATTCAAAGCAAGTTTATGTAGCTGTCGGTTGCTGGCAATACACGGCTACATTATAAATCCGTTTCTTTATATCTTGATTTATGCTTAACCGTATTTCAAACTACTGATCTGTATATTTCATATTATCTAATCAATGAAGTCGCATCGTGTTAGGAAACACCTTGTTTCCATAGTGCCATTTCATAAATTGATTGAATTTCCATTTCGTTCAACGATTACGAGCACTAACAAACTGCTTTGAAATTATCAACACCACAGAAGACTGGGTTATACGATTGATTTACTTATTGAACAATATCCCTTATTACATGTCAGCATGTCAGTAAAACTTATGTGTATATTGTGTTTCCACTAAATCCAATCAGCATCACTGTTACTCAAAAGTATTTAGTCGTGGCTAAAACGGAGTCACAAGAGAACGAATCCCTCTTAAATAATTAGATCAAGATGCAACTGAAAACAAACTACAATTTTGTAACCTACAGACGTTTCCTATGAAACAAATCATTTTGATGTTTGAAAAAGTACTTTTTTTATTTGAAGTATTCACTCGTAATCCAAGTTCCACTGGGAACTTGTTAAACAGAGGTCAAACAATTGGAATCGTCAGAAGTGCCTGGTTCACGGACATTTTTCTTACTTTTTTAAACCTCTTTTATCCTTTTTGATTTATTGCAGCGAACTCAGAGCTCAGTTTCTGTGTTTAAAATATAAAGTCTTAAAAAGTTGGAGTAGGTTGCATTTCGGAATTTATAATAGATCCATCCCCAGTTTACTCATTGTCCGCAATCATTTGGAGTTGTTTAGAAAAATAATGTTGAGTAATATTTTTTAGATTAGCATTCTGTAGTAGCTTTGTACTGTTAGGAACAGTCAGGGAAACTTGGTAAATTGTTTTCGAGGTAATTAGTTTGTATATTTTTGTTGCTTATTTATCGGACAGCTGATCCATGGTGTTTTTATTTAGCTCTGGTTGTAAGTCATTCTTCGACTCCTCAGTTTTTTCTGTATCTTTCATTATTCAGAAATTATTTCTAATTAAATAATGGCTGTGTTATTCAACTTTTTGCCAAGAATAGCTTAGTTATGTACACACTACGATTTGTTACACATGTCTCATGGTTTTACATTTTGTACATATAATCATGTAAGTTTTTGAATTTGAATATTAAAATGTGTTCCAGGCATTTAGATGGTCTTCTCAATAATCTGGTTGGTGGATTGGGAACGAGTGAGCTTTGTACGGGACTGTCGATCGTTAACATATGCAACAACTGTGTTAGTGGACTTGACATTGTTCGCGTGGGTGAAATCCCATTTTTTTTGGTGGAGTTTTGTTCTCTGAGCTGGATGGTTTGGTCGTGGAGCTTTCATCGTTCTTCTGAACGACATCATCAGCACAAACTTCAAATAGAAGTGAAGTGTTCGAATTTCTCCATACGTGTTTCACAGCTTGTTCTGTGCACCTCGATGTTGATTGGTTCTTGTTGACCTTAAATTTATCATTGTTTACTTCTTTGTTTTGGTTGTGTCTCCCATTGGTTTGATTTTCGTTCCTATATTTATGCATGATTTTTCTGATTGGTTGATAAATTGGATTTATTTCAATATGTTTGTTGATTGCTGATTGACCTGAGTGCCAGGCTTCTAAAAATTCTCTGGTATTTTTGGAGTTTCCTCTGTCTAAGATTTCTACATTTTTCCAATCGAATGAGTGTCCGTAGTTATCCACGTGTATTGATATAAGTGAAGAGATATCATGGCGTTTGACTGCTAATTGATGTTCATGTAAGCGTAGATGGAGGGGGCGTCCGCTTTGTCCGATGTAGTTTTTGTCGCAGTTGGTACAATTTATTTTGTAGATGTTTGATTTGTTTTCCTTTGTTATTTCATCCTTTGGTTTGCATAGGATTGATTGTAGTGATTTTGTTGGTTTGTATTCCACACCTATCCCGAAGTTTTTCAGCAGTCTCGTGACACATCTGATCAAACTAGACCTTTCTATTCAAATAAAACTTAGGCAACCACACTGACCAGTTTGGTCATCATTGTGACTTATGATTTTGTTTAACCTTTTGTTCAATGATTTCTAATTTGGAAATTATCTGTTATCCCTCTTGTTGAATTACACTTGTTATCTCGTTTTTCTTTACATAACTTTGAATGATATTCGTCTAGTTTTTCGTACAAAACTATAATTAATATCCAACTTCTCAACGATAATTCATAACTGTTTCACTGGTTTATTTTTATAACAACTCATTTATTAAGTAATACATTTAAATAGTACATCAAACCTATTTATCTTTCATCTCCAATGAATTCCTTAATTCGTTCTTAATTATTTTCATAGATACTTCTGAATTTCTAATACTTTTAACCAACTCACCACCACTTGATTAGTACTAATGGATTAATGTTGTGTTGTGAGGAAAAGCTAATTGAGAAAGATAATTCTTTGTTCCGTCCATTTTTTTAGTGTTTAGACGGTAGTTTTGATTATACTAAAATCCTACTACTTAGTGCGTAGATGATGAGTTATAAATACCTCTGGGTTACTATTCTCTGTATCATATATTAATGGCTGAACTTTTTCAAATCTTTTTCTCTACAGAATACTAGAAGTTCGCAATCGTCTTTATGAATTATTATGTCATTGTATTCCGCCCAACATTATCATGAGAGTAAGTTTTTGTTAAGATTAAATGATTTATTCCTGAATTTGCTTATGGAATTAAACTTTCTTATGACCCAAGTATTTGAAAGTTAACCAAAACCAAAGATGACTCGTATTTTTGAAAGGGTTTTGGGACAAATCTTAAAATGCAAACATAACAACTTGATCCTACTATACCCACGATTGAAAGAAAATTGAAGCAGACGTCAAACTGGACATAGCATCAGCTTGTTGAAGATTATCTGTATGGAAAATTTTAACTACTAATGTGTTTATGAGGATAGATATTTTTGTGGATCTGTTTGAGTCGGGAAATACTACAACGCCAAAATTACAAGTAGCATTAATGGCTACTGAAAATTATTTAAGTAGTAAAGTTTCAAAAGTAAACTTTATGTGTTGTTAAAAAGAAGAAGAAGAAACAACAAAATTATCGAATATATATTCGATAATTTTGTTGTTTGATTATATTTTCCTTGAAAAAACTTGGACCAGATTGCCAGGCGAAACGTTGGATTTACTTAAAATTCATTCGCTGAGATTTTACAAATATATTCTTCTTTTTAATGTCTCAAATGAACTCGGCGCCCAAATATTGTGAAACTATTCGTTTAAATTTAGACGAAAGTTCTTATTTATGTGTTGTGTTTGTCAAAATGAACTCGTATTGTTTGGGATTTTAATATATCCTGTGGGAAGTGTAGTTTGAAGGGTGTTGTTTTAAAACGTCGCTATGATCAGATATGATGGAATCGACCAACGGTTATATATATCAGGAAATATAAATACGAAGTTTATGAACTTGGGTAGTGGTGTTATAAGGTAATAAATCTGGTAACTGGGTATCATTAACAGTAAAATAATAATATGTTCACTATCTATGTAAAGAGTAAACTGAACCAGAACTTTTACATCACCCGAATTATCAGTCTTCAATCAATGGTTTTCACTGTTGCACAAGCTTCTACAAAAATAGCTATTGTTCTGTCCACAAATAACTTCAATAGTTAAAACCTTTATGGATTTGTTTTATGTGAAGGCCTGATTTTTTTTTCTAAGAATGTCTCTTACTCATGAATGACTAGTTTACAGTGTATTTTTCCGAAACACATTGTTCATGTGAGCTGCATTAATACCATTTAGTTGCATAAACCGAAGTGAGTGAAGTGGGTCTCGAACCTGCGATCACTTATTTGTAGAAATCCGAGTGTTCTAACCACAAAACCACCTCTCACAATTAATTTTTGTATTTTGATACAACATTACCTTGTTCAGTCATTTGACATGACAAAGATGAGCAATTTTTTCTGGTATTACTGTTCTCTTTATCCCAGTTTTGATTGCTGAAATGTTCCGTCAAACTCAAGTCAGTATTTCTAGACACTTTCTAACAAACAGTTGAAGTTTTCTGATATTTTATCTGGGACTCAGACCTAACTTCCCCTATTTATTTAGTTAAACTTCGATAGATTCCATTTGAGATTAATATTCATGTTACTCATGTACATACTCAATATACCAAAGGTTATACATAAATGAGGCTACTGGTATCAGTTTATTATTTTGACAAACTCGTATTTTACTTCGCTTTTGTAGTCATATGTTTAGCCGTGTAATGAGCTGTTGATAACACATTTTATATGAAACTAACTATCCCAAAAGACTACGTTTGGAGACGGACACAGTGATTGTGGACCCGGAGTTTATCGATTGAATCGAATGGTTAAAGTTGTTATCCATTAATTGATGTTCTTAGAGATATTTTCCTACGAATCGTTCATTTAAGCTATTTTGTCAAATAAGTGGGTTATTTCGTTTTATTATATTCATATCTCGATTCATATGTGCATCGGTGAGTAATGTGGTAGGCATATCAGTTAATGAGCTGATAATTTTATTTTTTTTGTGTCTCGTTAAGTCAGTATAATTAAAATCCTTTAAGTAAATTAATCTTTAGGCAATATTGTTTTTTTTTATCAAGAACATAGGTTTTTGGTTAAATATTATGAGCATTTCATTTATACATGTTTATATGTTAATGACTTTCTAATCTGATTAGATCAAAAGTATTTTGGAGTAATCATAAAAATGAATGTGAGAAGTATGCTAAATAAAATAATGGAGATCTTGATGATACTACTGATAATGATATCTAGTTTATTTCTTACGAATATTTTTAAGGTTTACATTCCTTTTCTTAAATTACTATTATTATTCATTGATGTCAAGGAAAATGAAAATGAGATCGTTCTGTACTACGTGTATGGGTAAGAAGTAATTTGGGAAAGAAACATATTAGGAATAAAAATGTTATATTAGAGTGGTTTGAGCACTTAACTTCCAGCTATCCGGTCGTTAGTTCAAGACGCGCTTTGCCCATGTTGGTTTCAGCAACTGAATAATACTCTCACTCAAGACAGCTTAGAACAATACACAATGGTAATCTTATTTTTTAAAGTTAACTTCGTACGTTCGCTTCTATGAGAAAAAGGTACTTCATACATTTTTATTCTTTTATTTATTAGGGTCTGGTTGACAATCTATTAAATTCATGTGACCGTAATTTAAAACTGGAATTGGTTCAGTTGGGTGCGGAATATGAACATCGATTGAATTTAGGCCAGAAACCAATTTTTCATTTGGAAGCCTTTGTAATTGCATTTATGGCGATCTACAAACGATATATAGAAGATGCTCTAGGCTCTGGGATGGAATGGTAGCATTAACATAAAACAAATATTAAATTCTCAAGATGTATTATGTATATTTATTACGAGTTATGTTGATAAATAAAAGTTTCTTTTGTAAATATTGTTTATTTGAATGACAGGTCATTATTTTACATGGGTATTTCGGTTTGTATTATTTATTCTTTTATTTGGGAATAGAGAAAATAACATGTACTCAGTCGCATTAAAGCTTAGTGGTAGAGGTGAGAACAAGTTCTTGTCATAGTTGTTAACTAATATTGTGCTGGTTGATTAATTGTATTGTAACTATTCTAAATGTTATCAACGCATTAAGATAACGTTGCCTGCAAAATTTCATCTATGAAACAGTTAAGACGTTTTGTGATATCAGATGAACATAATCCTGTTTCTCGTTTATAATAATCCAGTGCGGAGGTTGTATTGCTATCAATGTAGATAGCGTGCTTCCGTACAAAGCATTAAAGATAATATTAAGAATTATTTGTCGAGTTACATTTCCAAAGAAATTATTTTATGATACAGTCGTATTTAATAGACTGAAGTTAGTCCTTATATCGAAATATATAATCTCTGACCCGAAGTATTTTTGATGTGGTTGTGTTGTATGTGTATTTATTTTCATATTGCAAAGTACATTTTTCAGGCCTATATTATTGCTGTTAGTACAATTTCTTTGACTATGAGGAAGTGTTTGACAGCGTGGATAGTAGAACCTTATGGAACTTTCTTCGACACAAGTGTGCTTGAGAAGATTGCGAACATAATATGGAATTCTTGTGATGAACTACACTGCAAAGTCGTGAATGTAAGACAGCAGTACAGGTGCATTTCAAGTGATGGACAAGCCTTCTTACTCTCACCCTTTCTCTTTATTCTGGTGGTTGACTGGATTACGAAAACTTCCAGAACTAAGAGGAAGCTTGGAATGAAATGAACAGCTTGAATGAGTCTAGACGATTTTGACTTCGCAGATGACCTAACTCTTCTATACCATAATCACCAACAAATGCAGATTAAGACAACCAATGTAGCACCAGTAGGCCTCAACATACACAAGGGAGTAACCAAGATCTTCAAATACAACACAGAGAGCACCAAACTAATTACACTTGATTGAGGAGCTCTGGAGGAGGTGGAAAATCTCATATATCTGGACAACATCGATGAACGTGGAATATCTGATGCAGGTGTAAAGGCAAGGATTGGCAAAGCAAGGACAGCATTTGTACAATTGAAGAATATATGGAACTCAAAACAACTGTCAAACAACATCAAAGTCAGAATCTTCAATAAGACAGTTAGTTTTACTGTACGTGGTCGAAACTCGAAGAACTACTACAACCATCATCAAAATGTACAAGTATTTACAAACGATTGTCTGTGCAAGATACTGAATGTCCGTTGGCCAGATACCATCAGCAACTCATCTAATATAATTTATTCTTACCATTTATTCCGGATCACCTGGACCGGTGCAATTTTTCATATATTTTTGGTTCCTATCTATAAAAAGTTTGGTAATTATTATCTTAGATAAGAAAGTTGTAAGCTACTCGTCAAGAATTTTTATGGTTTGCTTCAACAGTGTGTTTGTAATTTATCATTCAATCAACAAGTTTCAAATGTCAGTGATTGATATTGGTCATAGGTGTTCAAGCCTAACACACGTATACATTTTACCTCCCAGCTCGTGATTAGCTGTAAATAGCTTTAAGTTTATAATTATTTATCAAACCAATAACTTTAGTCGTTGAAATTAAAGATTAAATTTAGGAAAGTAGGGTTTGGCAAAAAGTGTACAAAATACTTTTATGTATAAGAGTATAGTTCCAACATTTCAATAAATAAGTGGGGATTACTTATAATGACAACAATAGGTTACATTAATGAGTGAAGTCTTTAAAAGAAGACAAAATAAGTTCACAAAACAATAATTAGTCATCAACAAATAATTATCACGCCATGGAGGGGTTACTCTATTTTCCTGTCTTTGGTTTACACGTTGTTTGTGTCACAAGGTATTGATGACAACGAACAATCGCAATAGAGACAAATTCGATAGTATCATTATTGTAAAAGCTATATGTACATCGAGTTTTTGCATAATGTCATGTGTCTTCTTTCAATAATATTTTCTATTTGACGCAAATGACTCAAATACACAGAAGCCTCTCTTTTTGATCTTTTTTATACCTGAGTCTACCTTTTTATTTAAATTAGAAAACTCAACTGGAGGTAGGATTAAGCCTTGTGACTTACTTAACTTGGATTGTTTTAGTGGACAGATCAGTTTATTTAAAAGGATATTCCTTGAGAGTGCATCGTTAATATGTTAGCTAGTTTTTGTCGGAACCTTTCTATAAAAAATTTCCATTCGTATACCATCATTTCATGGGACTTAGAATCTGTCATTCGCGTTTGTGTAATTAATTATAATTATAAAACTTGTCCAGCGTAGATAAGTCCTGAACTGTTGCTCCTAATTGTCGATCATACTTTTGCGTAACTGTTCGAAATATAATTGTCAAGTAATTTTCACTAATAATAATAAGCTAATGGTCATTCTAGGCAAGGTGGATGATAATTTAATTTCAAGAAGTATGACTGATAAATCTTCCGTAACATCCCTGAGACTTATGTACATGTACTTGTTGCAATGATAAAATAGTTTACTTCCTAATTCTCGCGGAGGGCACATGACTTGAAAGAACTACAAGCTTTCATTATTGGGACAAAAAGTGATGTCATATACCCCTACTAACGTATATTATCTACTTTTGTCATTCACAATCGAATTCTAACGGTATAGTAACTTGTTCAGTAATTCATTTTTTTTCACAGTTTCGTTTTATGTTATTGTTATGACTACTAAAATGAACTTGAAACAAGAAAATTTTATATATACACGATGCAGAAACGAAGACAAATACTGATAGCAGATAAAGACTTCATACAATTATCAAAAAATCTAAAACAAATACTTAATGATTGATCAAAGAATACCATGCATAACTGAAATGGTGGAAATACAATACACGGAATTAATACAAAGCAAAACTATATGTTATAATGAATAAATATCTGTTGGGATATTCAGAAAAATATCCCAAAAATTATTCTGTTAAGTCTAACGCTATCCTTGGACTTGAGATGGTGTCATTTCCTTACTGGTCAGTGTTTATTTCACGTGTCATTTTCCTACTGGTCAATATTGTACAATGTTATTTTCTATTTTAATGGTACGATGTGGTCTGCTTGACTGGTATATAAACAGAGTATGTTTGAAATATGATGATTCATATCTCAGAGGCTGAGACTTGTGTTCTGGACTCAAATGGCTGGGCTAGACAGGGAGGCGGGACCAATCAGAGCCCTAGGTCGTTCATGCGTGTTTTCGCGTCTTTGGTTCGATCGATAATTCGCTGTACTCTAATCTGCAGCATCACAGTTATAGCAATATCACACTTAAGTAAAATGGACGTTGAACAAAAACTATTTCACACTGAATTAAGAAATGAACTTGCGTTTTCACCTCCTAACTCTTTAAATGCTACATCATCATTTCGATGCTGTACACTAGATAACTTAGAAGCGAAATAGTGGTTAAACAAGAAAATGAGTAAAAACAACTGAAATATACCAAACAGGAAGTTTTTCCTCTATTATTGTTTTCTATTTTTTCCCCTACTCATCAAACTAAATTTTTGTTTACGTGATTAAACACTCGTATAGGATTTTCACCGTAAAACACTAACATAAATACATATACATACATATAAGTATATCACAAAAGTTGATTACAATTTCATTACTATGTACGTTTCAATCATAGGGATGAACTAATTTCATCCTATTTATTTGTATTTCATTATTACGTTTATATAAATGCATATGTCTTGAAAATATGCGTGTTTCTAAGTCTAAGAAATTCATTAGGGTTTATTTTCATTTTATATTTGTCAATATGTAGTTATTCTTAACAATTTGATTGTTTGCTTGTTCAACGCATACATACATACACATACATATTTGTTGTAGTATGACAAGACAAACTCAATGAATTCTTTTTTCTTCTTTCAAGAAGATTCCATATTCAGTAATCAAATAATAACAGAATGTCAATTTTTTCTTTAATACTTATACTACTTATATACATTTGATTGCACAAGTAAGAGTTTTCTGGTTAAAGAAATACTTATTTCTTTCTGATTTATCATCTTCATCTTCCTTCTTTTTTGCTTCCATCATGATGATTATAGTGATGATGATGGTGATGATGATGATTGAGGTTAACTGACTTATATACTTTTTTTTCTACATTATTATTTCATTCAGATTATTTTTACTCTCCAAAAGATTTTCTCTCTTATTTTACTATCATGATTAAATTTGATTGAACATATTAAGATTTTTATTCAACTATGTATAAATATATGTATGTATCACTAGAGACTTACCAACAATACTTTACATCCAGAATAAGAGAAAAGCAAAAAGAAAAAAAATAAAGATATAGAGGTCCTTTTGATAATTTAATCAAGTGAATTTCTCTTTATTTATTTAATTTATTCAATTGTTCATTCATTTGCTGTAAATTAAGACTGAACTTAACAACAATAACAGAGGAAAAAACAACAACATTGAAGTGATAATAATAAGAAAAAAAAGGATAGAATTGGAAGGAATTTGTGGACATATTTATTATCATGAATGGAGTTGATTCATTCAAAGGCTTCTTTTTTTGTGAAGTATTCAAACATTAATAAACATTAATAGACACTTTAATTTAAAGAATGAAATAGACAATGAATGAAATATTCATAATGTAAACCATTTATGATTATGATTAAATCTTGATTTAATGAAGATATTTTACAAGGTATATCCTACATTAAAATATTGATTAATTAGGGATTATTATTTATTATATATTATTACTTCGATATTATCACTTTTATATTGTTCCCTTATTAATAATTGAATTAATTGATTCATTGTTTATGATTCAATATATTGAATAGTTTCATAATGAATTGAGATTTAAGTAGAGAGAATTATTAAAACAACACTGAACAGTAGTTTTTTTTTCTTTGATGTCCTAGTCCGAACATTTTTGAGTTTAATAATTTAAACTTAACATTGTTGAACTAGCAATAGTTACTTACTTAGTAAATATGATTTATGAGTACAAATATCAAAGCATATTGCCTAGTAGGTATGTACGTGTTAATTTTTAAACCCATAAGGTTATATTTTGAAGTGAAAATTAAAATGTCTATCTAGCTGACCTTTTACTTTTTTTTTATATATAGATGTTCTTAACAAGTGTATATGTGATCAGATTGTTCGAAATGTATTGCGCTAATATACTACATAGTTCTGATAATCTTCGTATTCTTATTACCATTATCGAAATACTTTTTAAATAAAAATAAAAAAAAATTATTCTACAGACTAATTAGTCCGATAAGAGCAAGTTAGGTAGTAAAAATGTCATACAAAGTGATGTAAACATTTGTTATAATTACATACTTAATCAAAAGTTATATTAAATTTCCCTGTTGTATATTAATCTATAAACATAGATAAGTTATTGTAATATTAATCGTAGTATTAAAATGTTAAATATTGTTTGCCTACTGATTCATTTTGGTCAGATGATGTTTCTTATACAATTAAACTAATTATCAGTATAGGGTTTATGGAGATTGTTAAGTTTTGATTGAGATCGCAAATCGATTAGACTACCATTGAAAACCTGGAAGCAATGGACGGCCGTTTCGTCCTATTGTGGGACTTTTCAACAGTGCACGTCCACGATCCTGCTTGCGGGATTCGAACTCAAAGCCTCTAATTTCGCGCGCAAACGCTTAACCTACTGGACCACTGAGCCGGCATACAATGGTGTTAATATCAAACCTCGACCAACCCACGAAGTTGCTTGACCATCTTCCATTGTGTTGAGGTAGACACCTTTTTCTACCCGACATGGATTAGCTCCACTGATCAAAAGTTTTCAGTTTAATTAACCAAAGTATCAGTTATTTTTCAATTCAATGAACTTGTTAACTTAATCATATATTACATTTTATTTCAATCTTGCATCATTCATCATAAATGAAAGTTGTTTTAAATTATAGGAAGAAATTATTCAGATGAAATTTTGACATAATCATAAGTAGACAGTACGTATTTTTAAAAGAAAAAGAAATGAAGCTTAATATAATATTAGATATCTCTTTACTACGGTATCTATCCTATTTAATTTGTAATAAAACTGAACAAACTTAAGGTGTATTTATAATTTCTTTAAGATTGCAAAGAGTAGCAGTCATTGTGACATAATTATAGTTTCTAATTGTTGTTCGTGATCAACAGCATTCTTTGTACTTGTATTTCTATTGTCATATTGAAAAAAAATAAGTATAAAACCCTATGGATACTTTGCAATAGTTTATTGATGAACACATGATTATTCTGAAGTTTAATACCTTAATGTTTAAGAAATTAAACACTGTTCAAATTCTCAAAATGAGGTTATTATATAATATCGTGTAATAAAATGTGTTACGAATTACCGAAGATAATTTAGAAATGAGAAGCAAGAGATTACTCGCATTTATATCATTTTGACAAGAATCAATACATAAGTTGTGTTCTTATCATTTATGCTGAAAACCCTGTAAAGCTACATCAAATTCGTCGTTTTCACAGGTTGATAATCAATGAGAATGTACATTGCTCACTGTAACCCAATTCGTTCCATTTTCTTATGGGTTATTTATAAATCTATTATCACACTTATTTCTTATTGAGAGATGAGATCATCTTCGTCGGGCTACTATCTATGTGGATACTGGTTCTGTAAAAAGTTGTCCTATGGTTCAGTTAAAGCCTTTGTCTTGATGAAACTTACTTTGTGTTTCACAAGATAATCTTGATTTCATGTGTTATAAAGAAAACTTTCGCCTGATTTAATCGGTTAACGCTGAATAAGTAGGGCAAATCTAGTAAAGCTGCTGTTTAACTGTATATATCAGTTCAACTGCTCATACTTTGGTATAATATAATTGGCTTTTGAGTTATAGCGAATGTTATCCTTGTTTAGTCTATAATGTTGATCATTAATCAACTATTAATCAAGTTGCAGTATGCACAAATTACTCGTAGTAGATTTTGCTTCTAGGAGGTTGAAAGTGATAAGAGTTTAGTCCCTCTCGAAACTAGTAATATGCCTTGCTGACGAGTGTCAGCTAATGTAAAGGTTGAATAAATGGTTTACTACTGATTATCTCTAAATATCTGTTTTCTCTTTAGTGTTAAATATAGTCGAACCGTGTTTCAACTAGTCATAGACGGCACTAAGAGGAATGAGTTTAATTACTATTTTAAGTGCTAATAAGCAGTTGAATGTCTTTTGTAGGTGATTATGGATTCCTTCTAAAACAAACAGAAATAACTTTGAATCGCATTGAATTTTAAAACCGAGGACTGCAGAAATTAGTATCGTTATCTTTATTTTGTTTTTAACTCTACTGATTATTTTGCATCAGTTAGGCGTGTACATTGTGATCTTCCTAACCAACCTGTTTAAAAACAAGATGGCGACCAGCTAAACCTCAAAGGTTATGTAAGAATAAAAAGGATATTAGATTTTTAATAATAATGTCGACCCCACGTAATTCCAACTTAGCAAAATATTGTTTCAGATGAATCGATCTTTGATATTACGATGGTAAAAGTAATCGACGATGGACAAAGTAATATGGACAGCCTAAACTTGTGAATACGTCAAACAGAGATGTTAAGATTTGGAAATATTTTATGTGGTTACAATGCCACTCAAGACAATCGACACAACTTATTACTGTTTCGGTTGTACGTTTCCTTTTATCTATTTTCGGTTCGAAAACTTTAATCTCACTTTTTTGCTTCAAATTTCTCTTCATTTTAGGTCACGTTAATTTTATTTGCTGATTTTGTTGCTGGTTCAATATGGACGACCGAATTTCATACCAACAGAAGAATTTTTATAGTCATTTCAGTCATAAAACAGTTCAGAATGTTGTTAAGAAATCTATTACCTTCTAAACGGAACAACTATAACGTAAATTCTTTCTCATAATTTGTCTGATTAAGTTTGGCAAACTGGTTATTGAGTAAAAGAAAACCTTATCTAGATATACAAAAATAATCTGATAAAGTTGCTTTTAAAGTTATTCAGCTTTCAATTTCAAACAACAGGTTTTTTTGGCATGGAATCCTTCGTCAATTCATTGGTCTTTATGATTGAAAATGCAAATACTTTGTACTCTATACGTTTAATGGTTTTTATTTGTAACTGATCTAGTGATGAATGTTCATATTCTATTTTAAAGTAGGATTTATTTATAACAACAAAGTTAATTTTCAAAGTTTAGATATTGGGGAAAGATTCTTAGACACGTCGATAGAGTATGAACAAACTATTGAGTGCCATCCAAACATATCTTCTAGCTTCAAATACAGCAAATATAGCAATTCAAGGATCAGATTTATATATTTTTTATACATATAGGCACAAGTTATTTCGTTGTGATAGTTATTCTCGTGATCTGTATTTTACTCTGTCTATTCTTGAATGTTTATTTTCAATCCATTCATGTCGATGGACTTACTACAGTAGATGTTTGAGAATGCTTCTCTTAGTTTACTGTGCGTTTTTATCTCAAAAGTTCTATCGAATAATAAAAATTTCATTTCCTCATGCTTGTAATTGTAAATTACTTTATATATGTTTTTCTCTAATAAGTTGAATTGATTAAACAAACAATAATACATACATAAAAACTGTTATCAAGAATCAAACTGCTATTAGTGAAGTTAACAAACCATGGTCACCTCGACCCAATAACTTAGCTCATAATACGTTGGCGTTTTCGTAGTTAAAGGTATTGGGGTTTGAGTCACTATATGAATATCAACGTGGAAGCGGGTAGATTCAGTTGGCTGGTTCCATGTGGGGTGTAACTCGTATTTTAGATTCAAATGATAGTCACTGTCCAACTTTAGTAAGAAGTTGACGAGAACTTAATGACCTTCGGTCACACTGCATGATTTTTTACTTATTTTCTTCTGTTCTCAATTGTCATAGACATTCATACAGATTACATTTTGTGTTTTAACTATTATATGAAAAGTAACATATACATTAACTAAACAGACGTCTAGTTCTGTAGTATTGTTATTTTTATCTTAGATGTATTACCTAATGTTAGCACCTAATATTTGTATCCTGTTTAAATTAAATTTCAACTAAATAACGAGTAGTGAATTGAGAGATTTATTTCTCAGTTTGTCAAAGGGAATATGTGACATGGGACAAATCTGTTTTTTTTGCACATGTTCACCAGTAAAATTATTAGTGATTGTGCTTCATTATCAGTCGATACTGGTCAGTAAACATTAACTGCTTGATTCTAACTAAATGATCAAACATTACTGAG